AAATTTCAAGGAAGATATGGAACTTAATTTGGTTTGTGAGGTACAGTTAGAATTCAAGGTGGGTACACTCAAGGGAATAGAGTAAGCAAAATAACAGGTAAGAGGGAAGCATGGCCTTCCCAAGGAGCTGCCCAGAGCTATGTATGGCTACAGTAGGGGCTGTGTATAGAAAGGAATAACATATACGTCATGTGCTTAGGTTTGGGGCTGATATTTGAGGAAATGAAAAGCAGGGCGGGTAAAAGGAAGTGAGGGCTGCATTTATTATCACAGAACTATTATAGGGTGCTGAAGGTGGCATATGATAACAAACTAGTATTTTCAGAAGATGATTCTGGAGGTGGTTTGCAGCCTGCATTATAGGAAAAGTACCTTCTGTTAGGGAGATAAGCCAAGAGATTCTGACTCTAATCTAGTTGAGAGGTGCTAAGAGTTTGCACTTGGGCTGTGAATGATGGATACAAAAACTCAAATCTGAGAGAGATATTTTAAGGAGGAAATGTCAAGGCTCAGTGATAGGTTGAATATATGAGAGAAAGGTGAAAGACAAGAATAAAAGAAATGGATTTCTAACTTTATTTCCAATGACTACAAGCACGATGATGCCATGGCTGACAGAAAAAAGAGAGCTGGAATTGTTGCTTTTTGTGAATATAAATAAATCAGCTTAGTCTAGGATTTAGCGAGATTCAGGACCGCATGCTTCTGGATGATTTTAGAATATGCAGATGCTATTCTGATTTAGACTGGGCAACTAGATCCTTCCAGAGGTGAAAGAGAAAGGGCATGAGTAATAATCATGGAGTGCCCTCTGTGAAACAGGGGTTGGATTTTGTGACCCTATGATATTTTACCAAGATTTCATTATGATAATAATTGTCAATTACTGAGCACTTATTATGTGTGAGGTCTTGCCCTAAACACATCTATAGAGATTTTTTTTTTTTTTACTCATTTAATTCTTTTAACAATCCTACAAGGTAAGTATCATTAACTACATTTTACAAATTAGGTAAGTGCCCACAGCTTCTTATATATTGTCTGGCCCAAGATTACACACCTACTGTCTTAGTTGTTGGACAGTGACCATGTTAAGAATCTGATCAGCCTGACTTATAAGATTCAACTCATTTCCAAAAGTAAACATAAAAGAAAGTAATGGCCTTTGGGATACCTGTGAAATGAAGCCAAGTTTCATGCTCTTTGTTTCTCTCTACAATCTATTCCCCACAGACTCCATTCAACTAGGTCTCCCTAAAGCTCAGCATTGCTGATGCCACATCTCTTTCACAACTTCTGCAAGCTATGTGCTATATTAATAGCACTTTCTGGGAAGCATAAGACATAAGAAAGTAGATTCAGTCTGTTTAAAAGCAATGAGTAGTAGCAGGTAAGCACTGGTTGAGAACTAATCAATTTTATACTAAAATCTTCATACAAAAGTTCAAGAAGAAACTATAGATTGAGTGAATATATAAATATTCTGTGTTAAATATATTTAACCTAGGTACACCATCATTAAGTTAATAAACATCTCCCTAAAATTGCTTACAATTAAAAATCCAAAAGTGAATTGAGGCTAGCTTACTTTTGAGAGGGCTACATATTCTTCTGGATAGATGAGACCTTTATAAAAATGTGGAAGATGTATTTCATGAACCAAATACCCATAGGACCTCTAGAGATCATGTTTTGTGGAAAAATAAGGCTGAAGTTCACCAGAGACCTCAGGAATTCACAGAGCTTAGTAAGAGGGCTGAATTTTTTTTTTTTTTCTGACTCTGACTTAAAACCCTCACTGTTCCCTTATTTCCTAAACATAACCAAACGATTTTTTTTTCAATTTATTTATTTTAGAGAGAGAGAAAGAAAAGGAGAGAGAGAATCCCAAGCAGGTTCTATCCTCTGCACAGAGCCCAACCTGGGGTCTGATCCCATGACCCTGGGATCAAGACCTGAGCCAAAATCAAGAGTGGGATGCTCAACCGATTAAGCCACCCAAGTGCACCAGAATTAAAGGATTTGAGGACATTTACATTTTTTATTGTGCTCTGCCACAGTGACAAGGTCATCTTCATGTATGCACTGATCTTTATTTAAGAATAAGATGTTAGGGGTATGTTGTCTGAACTGATTTGGACATGAAATCCTGAGACTTTAAAAAGTATAGTTCTAAAAGTGTGCATGGTATGATCTCAATTCTTATATATTCATTGAGGTCTGCTTTGTGACCTAGTATGTGATATATCTTAGAAAATGTACCATGTGCGCTTGAGAATAAAGTGAATTCCATAGCTTTGGGATATAGAGTTTTAGATATATCTGTCAAGTCCATCTGGTCCAATGTGTCATTCAGGTCCATTGTTTCTTTAGTGATTTACTGTCTAGTTGATCTATCTACTGCTGTAAGTGGATTATTAAAGTCCCCTGCAATTAGCACATTCTTATCAATAAGATTGCTTATGTATGTGATTGTTTTACGTATTTGGGTGCTTCCAAATTTGGGGCATAGACATTTATAACTGTTAGGTCTTCCTGATGGATAGACCCTGTAATTATTATATAATGCCCTTCTTCATCTCTTGTTACTGCCTTCACTTTAAAGTCCAATTTGTCCGATATAAGTATGGCTATTCCGGCTTTCTTTTGACTTCCAGTAGCATGACAGATATTTCTCCATCCTCACACTTTATTCAGAGGTAACAACCTCTTTCCTACAAAAGTAAGACCCAATTTCTTACAAGGTTGGGGCCAACATTCTGATCAACTATAAACGTATGACCGATAAGTGGTTGGGGTAGCAATGCAGATTTTTGGAGTCACAGATGAGAGGAACATTAAAACATAAGAAAGAAAGGTAGGGAAACAAAATGGGATATAAAGAAGAAAATAATTTCAAGATTCATTGAGTACAAGTAACAGACTACTACCGATGGTAATTTCAATATGAGTCATTTCCATAGAATGGAAAGGACAGAAGATACTCCTCATGAAGATTAAAAAAGGAAAGGAAGAGATCAGTCAAATAAAGAAAATTACAGAAGTTCAAAAGCTTTTGTATTAGCAATGCATAGTTTTAGAGTGTTCAAGATGAGTACACATTTCAACGATATTAATTTTTTAAGAAATTAAAAAAGGGAAGAAAAATAAACTTACAACATTACATTTGAAATTTATGAAGAATGGGAAATAATTTGAAAGACAAAGAAGAAATAAATTCTAATAGACTCCCAATTCCGTTTATGTTAAGGTAAATATATAACAAATGAAAGACGCGCTTTTAAGGGAAAATAATGGAAACAGGCTTCTATAAGATTTGAAACAAAAACTACCTATTTATATAGATGCTTCGCAAAAAAAAAAAAACACCTTAATATTATATAATGTGCACAAATTTTCTAAAATTAAATAGTTGTGGTCTTCTTAAAACTGAGGACTCAATATGTTTAAGTAATCCATATGTGTCATTTAAATCATTGTTAGACATTTTATTTTAATAACCAAACACTTCAAAAGAATAAAACTGCCTTTCAAAATTGAGGAAATTTCAAATGTAAATGTAATTTAACTAAGTAATAGCTGAAAATGATTAAAGAAAATTTGTTCATTTAAAAAAAGTACATAATTGTATTTTTGAAATGCAAGTCACAGATTGTTTTTCTCATTATCCTATGTGTATGTGTATGTGTGTTTAAGAAAATTTGTAAATGGTTTGTGGGGTATGGTGTTCAGGGGCGCTACAGAAAAAAATTTGTTTAACTGGAAGAGTGCTCCCTACTGTTTTAGTTGCACAAAAGCACAAACAACTTCTCCTATAACAAGAACACTCATATACTAGCTGGAAAACCAAAATCAAGACGTGTGTAAGGGAGGGGGAAAAATTCCATAAATATTTTCATACTATACTGTAAAAATGGCATTCTACCTAATTTTGAGGAATTATATTTATTTATTTATTTTGAGAGAAAGAAAGAGCACACATGAGCATAAGCTGGGAAGGGCCAGAGAGAGAGGGAGAGAGATTCCCAAGCAGTCTTTTCACTGTCAGCAGAGGGCCCAATGTGGAACTTGATCTCATGAATTGTGAGATCATGACTTGAGCTGAAATCAAGAGTCAGCTGCTTAAATGACTGAGCCACCTAGGTGTCCCAGTAATTTCCAAAAACTAAACAGAAAATACTAGCATTATCATCTAAAACCTGCATTTATTCAAGAATTTATTTGAACCTGGCTTTCAAATTATACAAACCAAGTAGAATCCTACAGTTTCCCAGAAAAGACCAATTTATCTCTTCTTTCTCAATTGTCAATATCATTATAATGACTAGAGTTTATATCTATAAACATCACATGTAAATACCACATGTAAAATCTTATCCCTCAAATTATGATATAAGTAAAGAAACAAGGCAACAACATATTTTAAAGTTCACAAAATAAGTTCTTAGAAGCATCAAGAACTAAAATATGGACCCATCTGCATGTCTACCTAGCCATGTGGTCAACATCAATTAGCTACATTTCTTGGTCTTAGGGTCTTCATTATATAATTAAGTCTTTGTTCAAATTTCTAGCCTTTATAAGCCCATAGATTCTATCATTAAAATAAATTTACAACATATAAAACAGAAATTTCTTACAAAATAGCACTGGAGATGGAGGGACAGCTGAGTTCTATACAGACTATATCCCACATGCAGTTCCCACCCCCTAGCTATGGCTTTTCGGTACATTCCTGGTAACTTCTTGAGCTCCCTGGAACACCACTGGAACCTACATAATGGTATAATCTCTAAGGTTGTCAGTAGTTCTAAAATTCTGGATTCTATGAGGACAAATCTGACTCTGACACTTATCCCTTTGGGAGCCACATGGGATAAGAAGCTTCTACAGTTTTATGCTGACTTAGTCTAAAATTCCAGAAAATCATCCAGGATAAAATTCTTGGAGAGTCATCATTGTGAGTGAAGGCTAGAGATTTGTTTTCCAATGTTACTCACTGTGATCTGACACCAAACACAATGCAGTCCTGTCAATCCCTGGTAACATTTAACTGTTTTGTGGCACTTATCACACTTGGTTGGGCAGTTACCTTCAACCCAGTAATGGTGCATGACCTAGAATAGAACAAGAACATTGTGCTAAGAGGAGGCTTCTGTCAACATCACCCTATGAGACCAAGTACAGCTATACACTTACATCAGTGTTCTTCTTGGACTTCACATACGTCTTGATGCAAGAAGGCGGCGCTCTAGCCACACAGCGCTCATGCACTGTGTACTTGCAAACTGAAAAGAAACATGTACACAAATTCAGAGATAATCTTGGTCCTGATTGCAATTTTATAGGGAAAGAATGACATTAACAGAACCTCATTCCACATCCACTGCTCCCTAATCAATCCAATCAGCTACATCAAGTAAAAGTCTAAGTTGACTGTTTTTACCATGGAATAGAAAAGGCCAATTAGTACAGGAAATATTATGCATGTGAAAAACCAAGACTCCTCTGTCATGGCATAGCAGGAAATGCTTAATTAAATCAGGCTTCACTCAAATTTTTCACAATAATTCCCAGATGACAGAAATATTAAAGACAAATTGATGACTGCCAAATGGCTTGGTGTCATTTGCTAGAAGGAAGAGATCTATATTTTACAAAGTATAGGCATGAGAGCAGCTGGAGGGCATGGAAATAAAAGCCCAGGAGTTTATGCTATTTTCTCTATTGATTTATCTAAACCTTAAATGGCTGATTAGTCCATTTCCAGAGAGTAGTAGATTTCATCATACATGCCAGGCCTTCAGTATGAGTTTATCCCTTACTTGCCATCATGGCACTGCTTGTCCAAAAGGAACAAGCCATTCTAAAAGAGTTCTAACTATATAAATATATAGAATAAAAACTAAATAAAGAAATGACCATGTAGCCCTCTCAATAAGACAAAAACAAACCACTACATAGAATTGGAGTGAACAATACTAAATCCACATAATATTTATATAGTAAATCTGTTTTTGAAATATCCACAATTTTATTTCTTTTGGTGACTCTGAGGAAAAAATGATACTTTTTCTTCCTTTCCATAATGGTAATAATGTTGAGTATTGCATTTGCCACACTGGTTAGTTAAAATTTGTGAGCACAACTCTCCCTCTCTCTTTGACAGCACTCACAGTGAATTATCGTTTTGCTTCACATGCTCCCATAAATAGAATTTGCCATGAAAAATCCTTTTCCTTAAAAATAACAAAGTTTAGGGGAACTTTGTTGGCTCCATCAGTTAAGCATTATGTTCTTGACTTTGGCTCAGGTCATGATCTCACAGTTCTTGAGTTTGAAAGCCTCACATTGGGCTCCACACTGTCTGCTTGGGATTCAGTCTCTCTCCTCTCTCTCTTCCTTTCCACTACTTGTGCTCTCCTTCTCTTTCAAAATTAACAAATAAACTTTAAAAAATAAAAAAGTTAAGAAACAAGTTACTTTCTTTGTACATAAAGAATGTTCTATGATAACTAGCCTTTCATATATGGCCACTAGAAACTGCCCTCTGAAGTGACATATGGCAATTTCATATAACTTTATTAATATCATTTAAATGGGGCACTAAAACATTGTTTAAAATGTCAAATAGTCCATGTAAGAGGGAGTCAATTCTCAGATATATTACCAAAGAAGATGCTACCTAAAAATAATATCAGATTATCAATATCCAACATGGCTATATGGAAGCCAAGTAAAATTTAGATTTCATATAAATGCACATAAAATGGGATCTGTTTAATAAACCTGACAGTTTCTGGGGCACCTGTGTGGCTCAGTTGCCTTAGCATATAACTCTTGATTTTGGCTCAGGTCATGATCTCGCAGTTCATGGGCTCAAGCCCCACATTGGGCTCTACATGGAGCCATAGCATGGAGTCTACTTGGGATACTCTCTCTCCCTCTCTCTCTCTCTCTGCTCCCCCACCCCTGCTTACATACACACTCTTTTTCTCTCAAAAAACAAACAAACAAACAAAAAACCTTTACAGTTTCCAGTTAACTTCATACAAAGCAGAAAAGGAGATGGCTGGACAAATTGTTGGACTGACAATGGCATATTTATGAGTAGGACACAATATTCCTGTTTTAACAGGGGCAATAGATAATGTAAACATTTCTAGGCATAAATATTGTTTATTTAAAAAGACTTAGGTGACTTCTATAAATTAATTGTTACCTATACTACCAGAAAATTTTAATAGTCAGTACTCACTCAACAGAATAAAATGAAAATTGTAAGGGTAAGTGTACTGAAATGGAAAGAATGGCCACAACTCAAGAATTGTCAATCTTTTAATTTCCAATATTAATTAACCATATATGAAGGTTTTCTTCATTATAGCCTTAAAACTTATGCGCCTGAACTTTAAGATTAGTTTTCATCCTTATTTGAATGCAAATTAGTAACCAATTAATGTAATTGTTTTTTTGTTTTGTTTTGCTTTCTTTTTTTTTTTTTTTTTTTTTGAGAGAGAGAGAGAGACAGTGCGAGCAAGGGGAGGGACAGAGAAAGAGGGAGAGACAGAATCCAAAGATAGATTCCAGGCTCTATGCTAGCTATAAGCACAGAGCCCAACACTGGGCTCGAACCCATGAACTGGGAGATCATGACTTGGGCCACAGTCGGCAGCTCAACCGACTGAACCACCCAGGTGACCCATAATTTCATTGTTTTTAAAAACTAAAAGAAATGTCTCATTGTAGGAAGACAATGTGAATTAAGTAGCTAACTTGGGGGAAAAAGGACAGATATGAATAAGATAAAAATATGAGTAAACAGTCAGTATTTTCATAATAGTCTCAGATAATGGGAATCATACATAAATCAAGCTACAATGGAAAGAAAATGGCTAATGAATTAGAAAATGTCCTTTGCTCTTTTTCACGGAGAAGATTTCTCAAAACTGAAGAAAGTTAACAGCAGAGAGACCTAAACATTTAGGAACAGACTGCAGAGAACCATAAATCCTAGGTACAGGAAGGGTCAGAATGATTTCTTAGGTCTCCGTCTACAGATAGGACTTTCCATGAAATCAACCTTTTCTCCAGGTGATGACATCCAGGCAAAGTAAATATACTCACAGGAACAGCAGAGACCCTGCTTCCCCACACCAATCAGCATGTTCAGGCAAAGATTGCAGTACGCAGGTTTGTTAAAGTGCTTGAGTCGCCACACATGCTGTCCGTCATCCTTCACGTTCTGCGCAGGAGTAAGAGAAACAGATTTCACTTAATGAAATAAACAGTGGAATATGCAAGTGCCAATAAAATTCAGAGCTGGACTGAGGCATTTGAAGACAATCTGTTATTTCATCCCTGACTTTCTCCAAGATCGCCAAAGAGTCTAGAAAAACACATGTGCTCTAGTGGAATGAGATCCTGCTAACACATCTCAGATACTATAGCAACGCACACATTCTTGTCTAATGTCAACAGTTCAACAGCGTGTCCCAAACCATCATAATGACCTGCCAAACTGAGCACTCCCAAAGAACGAAGACATGCCTGACTTGCCTTTGAAAATTTTATCCTTAGAATATTTCCAGAAAGGAAGTAAAATAAAGAAAGAGAAAACACTCTTCCTGAGTGGAAGAGCCTGACAAATAAAAACTTAGAAAGAATGTTAACCCTTGCTTAGTCGTAGGAATATTTAAATATCATGATAGTGGGTCTTAAAACAGGTAGAGAAATGGGATGATATGAGGTGGGAAAGAACAATTACTTAAAGGTAAGTTATTGGTGTTATTTTAAGATTTCAATAGGGGATTACTTACATCTTAGAATTTACATTAGTATATTTTTGTATGTCACAAATAGCAAAATTTAAAAGATAAACTTTTTAAGGGCTTAATTATTATCATTTTGTTTATTCCTCTTTTGTAAAATATGAATGATTTTAATCTCCAAGAAAGGTGCTAAAATATTAAAACTATAATACTGTATTTATTTATAACAAGCACTGTAGTTTTTGCTGTAATCTTTAAAAACATTTTTTATGTTTTATTTATTTTTGAGAGATAGAGACAGCATGAGCAGGGGAGTGTCAGAGAGAGAGAGAGACACAGAATCCGGAGACCAGCTCTAGGCTCTGAGCTAGCTGTCAGCACAGAGCTCGATGCGGGGCTCGAATCCATGAACTGTGAGATAATGACCTGAGCTGAAGTTGGATGCTTAACTGACTGAGCCACCCAGGTGCCCCAATTTGCTGTAATAATCTTAAGTTTAAGTTAATTCACATTTTTACAACAATTATAATATTGATTTATTCTTCTAAGTAAAACTATATAATATCATAATAGCTATTTCTCTAATAGGTGTTTAATTACATCTATATTGTTCAGACTGAAATAAAATACTAAGATGCTCTTTAATCTCTTATATTCCTTATAAGAAGGTCAAGCCACTAAATGAAATCATTAAATACCATTACTTTTGTTACTATTATTTTCTTCCTTGCGGTCCTTGTATATCATTCACCAAATTCTATCAAACTCAGATTAATTTTAGGCATCACTTATTTTATAGAAACCATTATAGGACATAACTTTTCAGGTTAGCCTAGTTACCATATTTTTCAAAACACATTCACCTAATAAAACCTTTTGATCACCTACTGTGTGCTGGGACATGAATACATTTTCCATAGTGGTGGGACAATATAAACATGTCCAGATCATTTCATATCTGTTGATAGTAAAATATTAATAATAATGCTTTCTGAACACCTTTCCCTATTTCCAGGGAAGAGACAAACCACCAGATTTAAAATACTTGATTAAATCCATAGTAACTAACTCTTACATTAGAACCAGAAATGTCAAATTTGCATCATAATATGAAACATTAATGAAAATGTTTCCTGGGAGATAATTCTCCATGGGTGTCTTGAATTTCTGCACATTTTGTAAGCAGAAGGAATATCATTTTTTCCAGGTTATCTTTTCACAGATATTTGAAAAATAAGTATCCTTGGACAATAGAGATGTATCTACATACAGAGCAAAGGGCAGTTTTACTTATTGTCCCATATAATAAAAATAATCTCTCTCTTCTAAGAAAAGGTTAAGCAGGTTTGTTTACTGCACATTATAAAAGATTTAGTTGCTCCAAGCCAGGGGTTCCAAGCTCCGAGGTTGTGCACAGTGATTCCTTGGGACTATATTCCATCACCTGTGTGAGACAATAGGCCAAAACTATAAGCTCAAACATGCAGCTCTTACTGCTTGCTCTGCTGTGAGTAAATAAGTCCTTTGTTTCTGACCCAGGTACCTCATGTCCTCTTCACATGAATGAAACATACATGAAACTTTAGCAAGCTAACTTGCTAATGTGCAAGTAGGGTAACTCTCAGAGCCCTCACAGTTCCTGAGAATGCTTTGTTTTGTTTGTTTGTTTGTATTTTTTGGACAAACAAACTCTCAACACAAGTAGTTATGCTAAGGGTGTTGTGGAGAGAGCATCAGAAGATATTGGTGTTTTAATTTTCTTCCACAACTTAAGAATTTTAACATTTATTCATTTTGAGAGAGAGAGAGAGAGAGAGAGACAGAGCATGCATGAGGGAGGGGCAGAGAGACAGAGGGAGACACAGAACCTGAAGCAGGTTCCAGGTTCTGAGCTGTCAGCACAGAGCCCAACACAGAGCCCTAACCCACAGACTGTGAGATCATAACCTGAGCTGAAGTCAGACATGTAACCGACTAAGACACGCAGTTGCCCCAAGAAATGGTTTTTATAGGGGCATGTGGGTGGCTAAGTTGGTTAAGTTTCTGAGTCCTGATTTAGGGTCAGGTCTGGATCCCATGGTTACATGAGCTCAAGCCCTGCATGGGGCTCTTCCATAACAGTGGAGATTGGGATTCTCTCTCTGCCCCTCCCAGCTCATGGTCTCTCTTTCTCAAAATAAAATAAAATAAAATAAAATAAAATAAAATAAAATAAAATAAAATAAGAAATAGTGTTTATAGTACTTTCTGAACCCAGTTCTAATTTGTTTAAGTCATGAGACTAATGGTATTATAGGAATGGAACATTTTATACATTTGTTTAGCATTGCTGTTTTTTAAACTGTATTTTAAAATTTCTCTTCCTTAAAGTAAGAATAAAGCATCCTAAGTGAAAAGTTGAAGTAATGGGGTTCTTAATTTAATATAGATCGATCGATAGATTATAGATATAGATATAGATATAGATAGGTAGATAGAAATAATATATAGATATAGATAAAATCAGCTTAAACAAACATTCTTAAGTGAAAAGAGGAAAGAAAAAAGTCTAATTTTCATATGTATTACTGTTCTTAAAATTCTTGTCATTTTATTTTTAAATGAATGTCCATTACATGTGAATAAGCCTCATCCTGTTGAAGAGCACATATGGACTAAGTTAGCTGGCATTTTCCTTATCAAAAAATAAACAAGTCTGAACGTGGGTGTTCTGTCAATCAGAACACTTAGCCATGTTACAGGCTGCAACTGATGTACAAATCCATTACCCAGACATAAAATACTTTACCAAAAAACAAATTAAATAGCTTTATAGCTATTAACCGGATACATTGCCAAAATATGCAAAGGATGAAATATGTATGTGTCTTCAAGAGAAGAAATTGAAACCAGGAGCCAACTATTTCTCAGCAGTGCAAATTATACTTTAGCTCTCTATATTTTCATGTCTTGTCTTGTTTGTCTTATTAAACTTAGTGGGGGACAGGGAGAATCTGTCCCTTATTATATTCTATCAGCCAGTAGAACATATTCCTAATAGTACTTCTATTGCAAATAAATATTTATTGTCATAGAAAAGAATTCATCTTTTTAAACAAGAAAGGATGAGGAATTCCAGAAGGTTTGATTCCTGGCCTGCTATGAGAATGTGGATAAGCCATTTTACCTTTCATCTTATTTTCCTCTCTAATAAAATGAAAACACCTAATTTCCTCTCTCAGGCTGTGATGTGAGGTTTCATTATATAAGACCTGTGAAGTCAATTTAACTCCTCAGAAGATTGGTGTTATATAAACAGCAAATATTATTACTATCATTGAGTTGAGTTGTAACATCCCAATGTTTTAGCCAAAAGACTTGAGAAGGATGTTTGTAGATTTACTATACATTGTTTCATAAAAAATTTGTTCTCAGTTTTTCATTGTCAGATATCACTCTTGGTAGAAATTTCTTCCTGGTATTTATAAAACACTATATTTTATAAATGTAGTCATTCAGTTCTGTGAACTGATTAGGACAGAGAACTACTTAATAAAACACAGGCAAGTTCCCACAGAGAAGGAGCTCAAGATTCCTTCTCCCTTTTTACTCCCTAGAAGTCAGAAGGAGGTTTCAAAGGCAAGAATGTTGTTTGGAACTTTTTGAAAGCTATTTCATGATCTTATTGATTTCTAAAGTTTTAGTTTCTCCCAAAATACATCCAAGATCACATATAGTGTTCAAGTGAACCAGGGCTATTATAAGTAATCTTATTTTTTCTAAAGACCTCAAGGAGAAAACTGACTAATGCCATAGCCAAAATGCCCCTAATACCCAGCCACATCCCTGTCTGTTTCAGCTGATTTCAATTAAAACACTTTCAAGAGCTAATGTTGCAAATTAATCCCAACTCCTTACGTAATAAGGACCATTAAAATTACCTTACTTTTCTGCTCAACGTCTCCAAAAAGTTACAGTATGTAAGAAATTGTTCTTTAAGACAAAAGGATAAGCTACTTCATGGCTGGGCAAAGAGAATGCACGGAGACAGTTTAAAATTCTGAGTAGAGCTGCAATCAACTGCTTATCTCCAGATCCCATTTTTAAAAGTCAAGCTCAGGCCCTGCCATCTTGGGTTCAAATGCAAATTCAACCGCACATCACACCTAGTCAGTGTCCCTGAATGACCCAGTCTGCAATCTCAAGAACTGCTCCATTTATCCAGCTTCATAATTCCTTTCTAGATTGAGCAATGTATAAACAGCACAACAACAGCTCAACCAAATTAAATTTAAAAAATAGAGTGTGAAGCATTAGTTTTCCAAATATAGCTTAGTCTATTAAGAATGCATCATCTTCGGCTCTCCATTATACTCAGAAATTTCATCAGGAAATAGACCTCATCAGAAATTAGGAGGCACACCAAAAGGTTCCTTTTACTTTGCTGAGTCAGCTGAAAATGTGTCTTAAAACATTCTGATCAACAGCAAAGTTTACATTACGTATAGTATTTAAAGTCCAGGATTCTGAGAACACATAAAATGAAATGAAAACATATACTCATTCAAAAGCCATACCTGTCAGATGTGGGCACTACAATCTAAGACTAAGAAGTTAAAGTATTCTTATTTTAAGCCAGACTCCTACTTAGATATGTATTTCTGTTTTTATGGTAATATGAATTCAGGAATTTTCTTTGAAAAATCTAGTAATGATCCAAGATTACAGGTTTTGGGAATTGGACCATTATGAATTATCTTGTTTATCTAAAAAAAAAAGGAATATATGAATTCAAAGAATATTAGAAAAGGAAAGGGAATTTCTTACCTAGCTTCTTTTTTTTTTTTTTTTTTTGTATCTAGAGAGAATGACTGGCTGGCACAAAAATGACCTAGTTCATTAATAACAGAGCCAATGTAAAGATGAAGTTGATAAAGTTCACTGCTACCGTACTCTCTCTTCATTAGTCCACAGGTCTTTGCTGGGGTTGTCTGAGCTAAACAAAAAGATATTAGACTCCGTTCTCCTGAATGACTAAACGTAGACTAATACTCTTTCTGTTTCTAATATGACAGATTAGTGACAGACTAGATCAGGGGTAGGAAACTATGGTGCTTGGGTAAAATCTGACTAACAACCTATTTTTGTAAATAATGTTTTGTTGGAAAACAGCCTTGCTCTCCTTTACTTCTGTGATTGTTTCTGTGTTAGCCATAATGGTGTAAATGAGCAGTTGCAACAGATACCTACCTTATAAATAAATGACTCTGCTTCAGGTGTAATAAAAATCACAAGTGCCACCCAAACTCTCAGCTTTCCTTCAGATGTAAGAGACTGTACCATTCCATATTGGGTATGCTAAGTTTCATGGACTTCTTATAATAGAAATGAAATCAGTCTTATTCTCTAGCATTTGATATAGAATCAGGTTCTGATAAATTATATTTCTGATTTTGCTGCCAAAGCAGATACTATTTGCAATAGGGTAAACATGTAAAGTGTGTTGATGGAAAAAAAATAATCTACAATGAAATCACAACTGTTCTGTTTTGCATTACAAGTAAGGATCTCTCTCTCAGGACAATGTTCTTATCTGTATAATTTGCTAGTACACCACAGTCACTTTCAAATACACTGTGGTATTTAACAAGCACTATCAATTAGAATCTACTCCCTGAGCTCATAATTGACAGAAGACAAGAATATATAGGAAAACATAACAAGACCACTGCACAATAAATGGCTGGATTCAACCTAAAGCTTCTAGATTTCCAATTTGATTAGCAAAAGTGTTGAGGGGAGGAATGGGGGGAGGGGAAAATGGCATCATGAATCAAATTCTCTACAGGTAATAACATAACACATTAACTGCCTCCAGAAAAGGAAATAAATCTCAATTACTAAAAAAAGGCCCTCATCACTCAGTCGTCACTGTGTCATTCCTGCTTTGTAGAACACTTTCCATGCCTTGAAATTAAAAAGCTGTTTCTAACAAATAAATGCTCTGTTTTGTGACCGTAATTACACGGCTCATATAGTTTATTAAAAGGCAGTTTAAAGTATTATCAGCTTATTCTTTTTAAAAGAAAAAGGAAAAGGGGTATTAACTCTCAGAATTCTTTATAGAGGAAAAATTCCATCTCCTATTTAAGTTGATCTGTAACTGTTAAATGATGTAGCCATGCCATCTAGTGGCTTTCACTGGAAACACAGTTTTGGAATATAGGTCTACTACTTTGAAACCCTAAATGGATTTCTCCTGTTAAGCTCCAAAAACATCTCATATTACTAAAGACCCAAAATAGAAATTTAAGAATATGATTATGAAGTATATTAGGTATTCTTAACCTGCTTAAATTCATGAAAATACTTTTAAGTCAGGTAAAATAAATTTACTGCTACATTAGAAACTGATGAAATATTCTATTTGTTTAAAATAAATTGAATTAAATCAATATGGACTTGTGGATCATATTTACCCATGCTGTTTTCACAACTTCATAAATAAGCTATAATTTTGAAGTTATAAAAAATTCTAAACAACTGTTTCCTAAGAAGAACATCATTTCAAAATCTTTCTGTAATATTTTAAAAATAGATGACTGAGTCTGCATTTCGGCATTTTGCTGTCCAGCATACCAAATAACAAATGGTTTAGTTACTCATTCCCATACATCTCTCATACTAAAATTGCCATAAACATTTAGAATAACTGCAATTTTAGCTTTAAAAATATAAAATTCTCTTTGAGGGAAATGTTATCATCAGAAGTTCTTGACTAGAATGTGACAGCTTTTTCTGTTTAGACTATACTCTAATCCTTAAAATGTTAACTTTTTGTTAATTTTCTTTTTATTTCCTCCTGATTTATTTACAAATACTTTAGTAGTCAGGTGTGTTAAGTAATTAAACAAATATTTATAATATAGGGACACACAACAGGTTATTATCAAAGTATATCAGGTTATGTATGGTATGAGAACGTCAGATACAGGAAATAATGCTTCATTAATTTTCAAAATGTAGTTTTATATATCTGTTAACAATAATATCTACTTTGTTTTAATAAATTATTTACTTTAAGGATACCTTCCTATACATCATCTTATTAGTAATTTTTCTTTACCTTCCTCTGACCATATTTAAAATCCTATGGGCCTCATGAGGGGTAAGCTTAACTTAAATGTTAAAGAATATGAAGGCTCAGGTAAAAAAGAGAGAAATGCTACTTTGCTAAAGCCCACAGATATATTTCCAAACCCATGTGTAAATGTGTACAAACACATTTGTGTATTTTCTCATGTTTTACAAATACAGACTGTAAGATTTCATGAGGGCTTTTAAAACTTTGGTCTCTCCTGTAACTGTGGTGTAGTCTTAAATCTGTAACATTGTTATCTCTGGTAATGAGAAGTAAGAGAAGTTTTAGAGTCAGCAGCAAAGTGGTTGACATGATGTTCTTGCATTTCAAAATTCTAAATATTTTATGTGCCATTGTGGTTTCCATCAGTAATGTTCTTTGAATCTTTGTGTACCTTTTACTATATACACATTAGACTTAATTCTTGTTTATTAATGATAAATACAAAGATCTAGTAGTGACTCGTTGACTTTGAAATGAACGATTACTAAAACAGACATCAAGACTGGGCAGCAAGATTCAGTCTCAAAATCACCATCATATCCCATTCTAAATTAGGTTAATTTCTTTTCCCTTAAACCACTATTTAATTACCACTGGGGGCAATGATACAAGAAAATTTTGGCAGGCTTAGAATGAAAGGCTGGCTGATATGATGATAAGTAAGAAAAAATTATGTTTCATATATATTCTTAACTACCTCAGTGTATAATTGGCTTCTCCAAGTATTGGTTTTCAATAAAATAGATTTTCTTCTTGGGGATGGCGATTATGGAATGAGATGGAGCACAATAAGAACCAAAGAACGTAATAAAATTGGGGAGTTTCTTGAAGTAAATAAAATGAGAAGGTCAATATTTTTTTTCAAGCCATATCATGTTTTAAGTAGAGAAAAAAAAGAGAAATATATTAAAGAATAAAGCAATACTTAAAGTGAATCAATGGGTTTGTGGCAAGTACTAATCATGACTTATTATGAAAATTGCACTGTGGTATACCTATTTAAAGGTCCAGGCACTCGCTACATGCTTAATGATAGAAAATGGCCAAATCCATTTATAATCAGAATGTGTAACAGAGCAGCCCACTGACTTACCACCAGGCCACCCTCTTTGTGTAAATGCTTACATTTTCCAACCCCAGGAGCACAAGAAGTGGAATTGTTGTCATTCCTCCTTGGATCCATTCCTCCAGGGAGACTGTTCCATCATGATCATAATCAATTTCTTCCATCATTTCGTGGAGGATCTGGAGTAAAGGAGATGAGGGAAAGCTTGCGGTGAATCAATAAAATAAATTTTAAAACAAAGAACAAAGCATTGCTTTGAATTAGTTAAACAAACTGACTAGCAACTAACTGCAAAAGGGAGATAAATATCTAGGTCAGCCAGTACAATGTTAATCCAATAACTGTGGATATAGTGGCTTTCTTATGATTCCTGGAACTTGACTACTCATAATGTTCAACTTGTAGAAATAACTGCTTAAGTTTTTAATACTTTCTCACGGAATAGTACAGCTAAAACAAGAAGCTATCTTTAATTTAAGGGTGAAAGTGGTCTTTAATTGCTTTCTCTATATTTTTAAAATTCATATATATGCCAGATAATGTCTGAACAAATTAACTTCATGGCAAAGAGCTGAAATAACTCTTTGCTAAGTGGTAAGGGATGGGGGAATTAAGTTGCTTTTAATTGCCTATCAGAACTTAATAAATCCAAGAAGTTAAACCATCAAGTCATTTTTGATTAGATTTCTTTCCTAAAGTTGACTTGTACGGAGTATCTCAAAATGTTCTTTACAGTGCTTGTTGGTAATACACTTATCTCTAAGTTTCATAGTGGTAATGTCAGTACTAAATGTGTTTAATAAGTATGTTAATATACTGTAAGTTTTTTCAAAGAGCACCTAGAATGTATACTAAGTGACGTAGGTGGTGTTAATGTTTTATTAGCAGAAAGCATATGTGTGTTCCAAACATATCACCCTTAGTTGCTGGGAATGTGAAGTACTTCCATCTAACAGCACCAAAATGCCAATACAGAAATTTTAATCAACTCGGAAAAAAAAAAAAAAAGAAAAGAAAAGAAAGAAATACAGAGAGCATTGCAACAAAAATTTGAAAGGTGTAATAAATGGACTACTTTATACACTGATAGAGTGTTGTTTGCCTAAAAACTCCTCAACTTAATTGATTGGTGTGGTTCCTCATGAAGTATTTGAAAATCAGGTTATTTTCCTTCCTTCCACACCTAAATATAGATATTGAAATAGAAGAGACGTTTTGGAACAAAATGGTGCTGAAATAATCATTTTATTATTATCAAAATGAAAAAACGGGAAATTATTTAGAATTTAACAAAACAATACAAGATCTTGTTAAAATGTCTTGCTGCTTAAACATACTTTGTTGAACTAGTAGAAAGATAAATGAGAAGTGAACTAAAACACAGAGCATTGTTTCAGATGGTTGATGCTTTTATTTTATACCTAATAAATCTAATGTTAGAGCCTGGGTTCATTTTTTAAAAACCTCTTCCAAGGACATTTCAATCTTCCTCATTAACTGCCATGGACCTCAAATGTTCAATTATTTTTATTCATATATGGAAACTTATCAGGTGTCTGACAATGTATACAAATGTACACACTGGTTTAAAATGGGCAGAGTGGCCGAGTCATTAGGCAGGATGAGGCAGTCCCCATGAGGGCAAACACACTGCACAAGGTAGGTCATTTTATCTTCACTTTCTACTATTTATACTACTCCTAGAGGTGACAGATTTATCAGTGTGTGCCGCAATGACAAATAACACCATAGAGCTTATTCTTTATGTTTTCCAGTAGATATCTGTCATAATTAGACTGCCTAGCCACCAACTGTTTCTTTCCTCAAATCACCCAGATCTCCCTTTTCCTCAAAGAGCTCTCCAATATTTGGGTGGGGGCAGGGGAGGAAGCATTAGTGCCCCCTTCTGCTTTAAAAACTAATAGAAAAACATCTTCCTTCCTTCCATGACTCCAGTGAAGACAGGAGACTTGACTAAAAGATGTGCAATATTGACAGGTATTAAGGTGATTACGATGGAGAAAGCTGTTTTATATTAACATAACCCCAACGGACAACAGAACGTTTAAGAAGTCCCTTGATTTCACCGAAAATAATACTAAGATGAATCCAGCAGTATTCTTAAATACTTAGAATTAAATGCCAGTCTTTCCTATTCCATATAAAAGCTGCAACTTTGTTAATGATAACTGCTTTTTATCATGTACACAGCATGTATTTTCCACATCCCTCAAAAAGAAACCCAGTTGACTTAAAACTTGGAAAACCTGATGGGGGAGGAGGCAAGATGGCAGAGAAGTAGGGAGCTCCGTATGTTTCACTCGCCCCCATCTCTCAAACGGAGAAGGCCTGAAGCCATAGGAACCCTTACAGAATCCAGAAGTTTGGGAGGAAAAGGAGACAGAGTCCACTGAGGAAACATTATAGCGTGAGTGTGAACTGGGGAAGATAAACACGGACCAGGACGGAGACATGGAGGGAGGGAAGGGAGCCCCCTTTGCAGGGAACCGCGGTGAGTTGAGGGGAGAAGAAAGAGCGGCCGAAACAGCTCAGGAAACCATCCCTGTCCCTGGAGAAGAGAAAAACCTCAGCTCGGGACACAGAGGGATCTGATTTCCAGCTGTCCAGCTGACCTTAAGCCGGACGCACTGGTCCCAGGCGAAGCAGGGAGGAACCTCTCTTCTGCTCACCAGCTCCACCCGGAGGGGAAGCCACACGCCTGAAGCTGGTCCTCTGCTCTTCTGGCTCAGCTCCATTCCCAGTGGGGAAGCGAGAGGCTTGAAACTTCTCAGAGGGACTGACTTGGCCTACAAGTTTATACTTCTGGCAGTACCAACGAGGCACGGGAACTAAGATCTGGAAACGAGGCCTGGCTTGGGACATAGAGCACAGCCCACCTCGGCTACGCCCACAGCACAGGGAGACCAGACCCAAAGAGTGAATTGCAAACCTTGGTTCCATAGGGGACTGGGGAGCCACCATTTTTCTCCCCACAACCACCAAGGTGGGACCTGAGGGAGAGCATAGGGGGATGCAGTAGACGCTAAGACCTGATCTGCCTACACCAAACCATGCCCATCCCAGCTAGAGAGCTGCCTTTTTTTTTTTTTTTTTTTTTTTTTTTTTTTTTTTTTTTTTTGGTGCAAGACCAACATAGATGCACTGCCATGATTAATTTTAGGTCAATTCTTTCTCTTCAGATATAGTTTCCCTTGTCTCATTTGTATCCCTCCCCTCTGCTGGACTGGGCACTCTGGTCATTGGTTTGCTTAAACAGTCACATTTAATCCAGTCTCTAGATATATATTCTAAACCTCCATAGCTACATTTCTTTTTTTTTTTTTTTAAATGTTTTATTTATTTCTAGGAGAGAGAGACAGCGTGAGCAGGGGAGGGTCAGAGAGAGAGGGAGTCACAGACTG